TTTATTATTTTAATGTATGGAAACATACATTAAATGTACACTGTAGTCATTTTAACAACTTAATCTTATACAAAGTGCTTGCAGTTCTGTCACTCCTGTCCTACCCCCAAATCCAAAAAAAGGCTTGGAAGGCACGCCTCCAAGCCCTCTGGGTATGAGAGCGTATGTGACGTCACAGCTCTCATACTGTGACGTCACATACTGTAATCTCACACATGCGCAGTGCCCTCATGGTTGTCCATAAAGAATCATTGTATTCAATTATTCTCTATGGAGGAATTGTAGATGCAACCAAGCGAGTACCACACATGTCCTTATGTTCCCCAACGCTCCTCTGGATTGGCCCATCATCCTGGAGGTGTGATGGGACCGAACTTTGATTACTCAAGGGTTTGTCTGTCTAGCTATCAATAGATCTGACCATATCTCACTAAATATCTGACATGGATAATTATCCATATAGCAAAAATTTCTAGTTCTGTATAACAATTTATAAGTTCTCTGGTAAATGACCAGTATTGGCAGATTTCTGTCAGATTTCAGGATTCGTCAGAAATCTGGACCCTCATCATGTCCAGTGCATCCTGAGGGAGAAGGAGTGATTTGTGATGCCATAGTCTCAGGCATGCTCGCAGCATATCCATTAGATTTCTGGACCCATCAGGAGCGCTAGTGCGCATGTGTAGCACAGAACGCAGCTGATGTTGCGTCACAGCTACTCCGGACATGGTGCACGTCCGGATTTCTGACGGGGTCAAGAAATCTGACAGAGCACCGTATATATTTCAATTTTTGTTTTTCATGTATAGTCCAGATAAAATACAGAGCAAACTGTACATGAAATGATATTAGGATACATATGTAATACTATGTTTTAATACAAAAGAGATAACCTTAACTCAGAAATGGTAAATAATTTGAAAAGCCTGAAAGTGGCGGAAATGACAAGAACAAAATAGCATTTACAAGAGAGACTAGTGAATCTTGAAGGTGGAAAGGAGACTGGGTGGTTTGAAGTTCAACCCTTCGATAGCAACTAGGTCTGAAGGCCACACACACTACTGAGAAATGTACAGGATCACTATAGGGTCAGGAACACAAACATGTATTCCTGACCCTATAATGCGAAATTTCTCTGAAAGAGAAAAGTACTCTTTTACAAAGTGCAAACAATGGGTCGCAAGAGTATTCTGAGAACGGACAGCAGCTAAAATAGCCTGCCCTTCGGTGGGTCCCCGCTCAGAACTCATGCTGGTTTTAGCTCAACTTGTGCCATTACAGAGAGAACATATCTGAAACATATCAGACTGGTCCCACCCATACGGGCAGTCCAGACCCGAAATGCCAGCAAGTTCTCTCTGCACGAGAGATACAGCAACCCCAGACGATCGTTTCAGCCTTGTTAGGCATCGTCAGTGAGGCATAGCTGATATCTCTCTAGGCACCGTGAGCAAGGGGTCCACGTCTGGATTACCCTTTAGACTAATGGAGAGCAAACAATGGGTCGCAAGAGTATTCTGAGAACGGACAGCAGCTAAAATAGCCTGCCCTTCGGTGGGTCCCCGCTCAGAACTCATGCTGGTTTTAGCTCAACTTGTGCCATTACAGAGAGAACATATCTGAAGCATATCAGACTGGTCCCACCCATACGGGCAGTCCAGACCCGAAATGCCAGCAAATTCTCTCTGCACGAGAGATACAGCAACCCCAGACGATCGTTTCAGCCTTCTTAGGCATCGTCAGTGAGGCATAGCTGATATCTCTCTAGGCACCGTGAGCAAGGGGTCCACGTCTGGATTACCCTTTAGACTAATGGAGAGCAAACAATGGGTCGCAAGAGTATTCTGAGAACGGACAGCAGCTAAAATAGCCTGCCCTTCGGTGGGTCCCCGCTCAGAACTCATGCTGGTTTTAGCTCAACTTGTGCCATTACAGAGAGAACATATCTGAAGCATATCAGACTGGTCCCACCCATACGGGCAGTCCAGACCCGAAATGCCAGCAAGTTCTCTCTGCACGAGAGATACAGCAACCCCAGACGATCGTTTCAGCCTTGTTAGGCATCGTCAGTGAGGCATAGCTGATATCTCTCTAGGCACCGTGAGCAAGGGGTCCACGTCTGGATTACCCTTTAACTAATGGAGAGCAAACAATGGGTCGCAAGAGTATTCTGAGAACGGACAGCAGCTAAAATAGCCTGCCCTTCGGTGGGTCCCCGCTCAGAACTCATGCTGGTTTTAGCTCAACTTGTGCCATTACAGAGAGAACATATCTGAAGCATATCAGACTGGTCCAACCCATACGGGCAGTCCAGACCCGAAATGCCAGCAAGTTCTCTCTGCACGAGAGATACAGCAACCCCAGACGATCGTTTCTGCCTTGTTAGGCATCGTCAGTGAGGCATAGCTGATAGCTCTCTAGGCACCATGAGCAAGGGGTCCACGTCTGGATTACCCTTTAGACTAATGGAGAGCAAACAATGGGTCGCAAGAGTATTCTGAGAACGGACAGCAGCTAAAATAGCCTGCCCTTCGGTGGGTCCCCGCTCAGAACTCATGCTGGTTTTAGCTCAACTTGTGCCATTACAGAGAGAACATATCTGAAGCATATCAGACTGGTCCCACCCATACGGGCAGTCCAGACCCGAAATGTCAGCAAGTTCTCTCTGCACGAGAGATACAGCCACCCCAGACGATCGTTTCAGCCTTGTTAGGCATCGTCAGTGAGGCATAGCTGATATCTCTCTAGGCACCGTGAGCAAGGGGTCCACGTCTGGATTACCCTTTAGACTAATGGAGAGCAAACAATGGGTCGCAAGAGTATTCTGAGAGCGGACAGCAGCTAAAATAGCCTGCCCTTCGGTGGGTCCCCGCTCAGAACTCATGCTGGTTTTAGCTCAACTTGTGCCATTACAGAGAGAACATATCTGAAGCATATCAGACTGGTCCCACCCATACGGGCAGTCCAGACCCGAAATGCCAACAAGTTCTCTCTGCACGAGAGATACAGCAACCCCAGACGATGGTTTCAGCCTTGTTAGGCATCGTCAGTGAGGCATAGCTGATATCTCTCTAGGCACCGTGAGCAAGGGGTCCACGTCTGGATTACCCTTTAAACTAATGGAGAGCAAAAAATGGGTCGCAAGAGTATTCTGAGGACGGACAGCAGCAAAAATAGCCTGCCTGCTTGCCCTTACGATTCTCGCTCATGCTGGTTTTAGCTCAACATTGCCATTACCCAGAAGGGAACATATCTGAGCATATCAGACTGGTCCCACCCATACGGGCAGTCCAGATCCAAAATGCCAGCAAGTTCTCTCTGCACGAGAGATACAGCAACCCCAGATGATCGTTTCAGCCTTGTTAGGCATCATCAGTGAGGCATAGCTGATATCTCTCTAAGCACCGTGAGCAAAGGGTCCACGTCTGGATTATCCTTTAAACTAATGGAGAGCAAAAAATGGGTCGCAAGAGTATTCTGAGAACGGACAGCAGCTAAAATAGCCTGCCCTTCGGTGGGTCCCCGCTCAGAAGTCAAGCTGGTTTTAGCTCACCTTGTGCCATTACAGAGAACATATCTGAAGCAAATCAGACTGATCCCACCCATACGG